GGGCCTTACTAAATTGCTGAGGTGGACCTCAAATTTACAATCCTCCTGCCTCAGTCTACCAAACAGCTGGGATTATGGGCATGTGCCACCACACTTGGCATAAACATCCTATTTTTTAACAAAAGCAAATTTACTCTGTAACATTTCAGCAAATCCTGACAATATTTAGGTCAACTTTAAAAATGGGCAAACACTTAGCAGAAATATTAAATTTGTCAAAAGGCAGAAATAAGGGTCCATTTGGACTGGGTTGTGGCTCAGTGGCAGAGAGCTTGCCTCGCATATGTGAGGCACTGGGTTCGATCCTCAGCACCACATAAAAAAACAAAGATATTGTGTCCATGTATAACTAAAAAAAAATTTTTTTTTAAATAAGGGTCCATTCAACAACAAAAAAATCTTTAAAACAAATTGGAACAAAGTATTTTTAAGCTTATTGCCAGTTTTATGTTTTATCTTTCCAAATAGATTTTTTCTTTTGACTCTGAATCAGGCTGGCAAAGTTCCTATTTATTCCTAGTTTGTTAAGTGTTTATCATGAAAGGATATTTTTTCTCTAAGATGAACAGTTTCTGTCCTTTATTAATGTGATATGTTACATTCATTTTTATATGTTGAACCAACCTTGCCTTCCTGGGATAAATTCCAATTGGTCATAGTATATAATCCTTTTTATACAATACTGCATGCTGCTGGTTTCAGTTTACTAACATTTTACTGAAGATTTCTGCATCTGTTTTCAGAAGAGATAGTGGTCTGTTTTCTTGTAAAGTCTCTTATTTTGGTATCAGGTTAGTACTGGCTTCACAGAATGAGCTAGAAACCCTTGAAGAATCTGTGAACTATTTTTAATTTTTCCATAAGTATTTACTAAAATTTATTTGTGAGCCACTTGGTTTGGGGCTTTTCTTTATTAGACTTTCTTTCTTAAAAGAAGAAATTTCCAACCCAGGTGCTGTGGCATATCCCTATAGTCCCAACAACTCAGCAGTCTGAGGCACAAGGATCACTTGCACCCAGGAATTTGAGATCCGCATAGACAACCAAACAAAACCTACTTCTCTCTCCCTCCCACCCCCTCCATACTCACAAAGAAAAAAAAAGAAATTTCCATTCTAACTTCTTTAATCTATGAAAAATTAAAAAGAGGAACAGAAAAAATAACCTCATGTTCTTGATTGTTCTAAAAAAAACATTGATTTTAAAAATAGGCAGTGTATAAATAAAAAGAGGGAGTCTTTCTTTCATATAAGCTGTTCATTCATCTAGTATGCACTCTTAAAATTTTAAGTCTTATTTGTGAGGTTAGACAGCTTAAGTAGTCTACTAATATTCGAAAACAGAAAAATCATACTCAATAAGGTCCATTCAGAAAAACCCAAGAGGTTCTATTATCCCCATTTTACATGTAATGAAATTAAAACCAAAAGAAATTACTTAATCCGTCTACAGTCACAGCTAGAGACGTGTTCATAAGCAAAAATTCAAGTCACAATCCCTGGATTGCTATTTAAAAACTTGTCACCTTGGGTAAAATTACTAACCTCAGGGCCTCAGTTTCTCTAAAACGACAGTAACAACACTACGTATAAAACAAAATACATGTAAAAGTACTTATGATAGTGTCTGGTTTACCGCATCTGCTCAAGATTAGCAGTAATTTTTGCTATTACTAAATATTTCTCTTAACAGTTTTTAAAATTTGATGGTTACAAAACTGAATTTTAAGACAAATACTGTAAAAATCTTAGATTGGAAAGGAACGACCCAAAATAATTTTATTTTTTATTTTTAGTTGTAATTGGACACAATATTTTATTTATTTTTATGTGGTGCTGAGGATCGAACCCAGCATCTCTCACATGCTAGGCAAGCGCTCTACTGCTGAGCCACAACCCCAGCGCCCTCCCAAAAGGAATTTGATTCCAATCACAGATGAACATTTTGCTACTACTATCATATTTTCCACTATATTTTGAACCTGCAGATTTTACTACTTCAATCTAGTCAAAAAATGAAAACATTCAAGGAAGGGAAATACATAAAACTCAGACTGGTCTTTATTGTAAATACCTGTCTATTTAAAAATAGATGAAATAGGCATGGGGGGTAAAGGTCTGTAACCCCACCAACTGAGGATAAGGCAAGAGGCTCTCAAGTTCAAAACCAACCTCAGTGAGACCTTGTCTCAAAATTAAAAAAGGGCCAGGCACAATGGCACATGCTTGTAATGCCAGCAGCTCAGGAGGCTGAGGCAAGAGGATCCAGAGTTCAATGTCAGCCTCAGCAACTTTGTGAGGCCCTAAGCACCTCAGCAAGACCCTGTCTCTAAATATTAAAAAGGGCTGGAGATGTGGCTCAATGATAAAGAGCCCCTGGGTTCAATCCCAGGTACCCAAAAAGTTTTTAAAATAAAGAGGGACTGGGGATGTGGCTTAGTGGTTAAGTCAATCCCAGGTACCAAAAATAAATAAATAAATAGAAATAAATGCAGCTGGGTGTGATAGCACATTCCTACAGTCCTAGTAACTTGAAGGCTAAGGTAAGGTCCAGAGGTTTCAGACCAGCCTGGGTAATATAAAGAGACTCACCTCAAAAATAAAATAAATAGATCTATACTGCCTCATTTACATTTTTGGATTTTGTTTTTCATTAACAGGAACATCAGAACTGATTTTTCCATAGCACTTTTAAATTTATTTTTTAATTTTAAATATTTAGTCGTAGCTCAACACAATGCCTTTTATTTTTTTGTGTGGTGCTGAGGATCAAACCCAGTGCCTCCCACATGCTAGGCAAGCTCTCTGCCACTGAGCTACAACCCCAGCTCCTCCATAGCACTTTTTTTCCTATTAACTAAATAGGTTTAAGATGTGACCAATAATATATGCTAAAGATCCTCTAAATTATTTTTCTTTATTCTCAAATATTTTTAACAGTTCACAGTTAAGCTTAATTTACAAGTGCATTTATTGGGGCTGGGAATGTGGCTCAGTGGGAGAAAAAAAAAGTACATTTGTTGTTATAACACAGCATTCAACCAGCACTTTCCTGGTAAGTTTGGGTTTTGTTTTTTTTTTTTTTTTAAATGTGGTGCCTCACACATGCTAGGCATGCACTCTACTATTGAGCCACAGCCCCAGCCCTCCTGAAGTTTTGCAATAAGCTAGCTATCCAGGTTAGAACTTAGGTACTTTCATTATTTCCTAGGAATTATTACGAACTGCCAATTCTGCCTAATTCATTATACTTTTAAAAATAGTTTTCTATTCACCAGCTTATTGCCCCCTAAAGGTGGGGTATCCAGGAGACCCTCTCTCCCACTTTGAAGAGGTGGAAACTAAAGAGTTACATATGCAAGTTATCATACTGGCCTCAGAATTCAAGTCTAAGAAACTTGCTTAAGCTTACCAATTGCTACTTTATTCCCTTAGGCTATCTTGCAGGGCAAGTGAACTCTGTAACTAAAAGGATGCAATGGTGTGATTACCAAAACTGTCACAGTGCTCTTAAAAGATAATAAGCTAATTGAACTGTAGAGTTAAGATAGTAAGGTGGAGAAGGAGAGGCTAACACCCATTTTCAGATAAGTATGAAAATTTCTGTTGTGTTATTCACTCCAACACACAGTTCACTAGGGCCTTCTCATGATCAGTGACCTGGCTAGTTTGTGTACCCAGGCTGATGGAAAGGAGAATTCCCACATGGCTTTTTTTTTTTTTTAAACAGAATGTTTTTAAAATCTTCCCTTAAAATTTTTTTTTAAATTCTTCCCTTTAAAAAAATTATTAAAAAAAATTAAGCAAAAAACCTTCCATTTCCTAAATTAGAGGTAAAGAAACTTAACTATTGTTCACCTTTGTCCTCTCAAACCTTTTAATATTCAGCTCAGTTTAACCTCCCTCAACTAGCAATAGCTTTTGTCATGGCAACACAGGGTCCAGTTTCTTCTTCCCATCAAAGTAAATGTGACTTCAGGCCCTGAGAAACAGGACCAACAAAGACTAGGATGTCAGTTTAGTGGACCAAGGCATTTAGACTATAATGGTTTACTGCAATAGTTATTGATATAGCAGTTACTACATATGACTTTCCTGCATAAGCATTTTAATTCAATCTTCACAAGTCTACAAGGTATTACTTAATAATCTATTACTGGGGTGTGGGACACAAAGGTAAAAGCCCAAATTCGCACAGCAACAAATGGCAGATGAAGCACTTTAACCAGGGCCTTTATCTTAGCATTCAATTAAAATCCCAACAGGACCATTAAACTAATCGCATGACCTTGGACCAGTCACTTCAAGCCTCTAACGCCTCAGTTTCCTCCACTGTAAAGTGAAGTGTGCTATGCTAGATGAGATTTGGGTTGTTTTCCTGCTTTTAATGTCGGGTGGAATCTCCGACTGAATTACTCCCCACCCCCCCGAGTATGTGCTGTAATGGTTAAGCCTAAAGTTTTCCAACCACTGTGCGTTCTAGTACATTCTCCTTCCTCTTCAGGGTGCTAGGGTCCCGTTTTCGTGTAGGGGTCTTATTTCAAATTCTGAACCTGCAATAGTAATTCTACATATTTTCTCTTAGTCTAATTCCATCTTTCCCTGCTACTTAGGGGAACCCACTAGGCCCGATCCTCCCGGGGACCACCGGATTACGCGGCCCAGCTCGAAACTGCCCAGGCAGCCAGTAATAGGCCTAAGAATGCCCTGGAAGCCAAGCCATAAGAACAAGTTCGCCTTCTCAAAGGTCAAGGGAGGCCCAGGGCACCTGCCACGCCTCCCGACCCCGGTGGCGCGGCTTGGGCCTGGTTCCCCAACTCAAGGGGCCGGGTTCAGGCCTCACCCCTCCTGGCCGGCGAGTTCGCCGGAGCCTGGGCCCTCGAAAAGCCAGCCCAATCCCTGGCCGCTGGCCACGCCCGACCCCTTTGGTCGCGATGTAGCGTTCCCAGGCCCCCCGAGGTCCTCACAGGCCGGAAGACGCGTGCAGGCCTCCAGTCTCACCTCGAGCCTCCCGGGGACCACCGGCAGTGCCTGCGCCTTCTCCCACCCGCACACCTGGCCCCGCGCTGCAGTGAAGACAGCGGCGGAGGCGGCCCGACCGTCACGTGCTGCAGAACCAAAAGGCCTCGGCTGCCGCTGCCGCGCGACCGAGCCCCACCGCACGAAACCCAGCCCTGGGCCCGCCCCTCGATTCTGAGTAGCTATGACTAGCACTAAGTCCCGCCCCACTTCGCAAGCTCCTAGATTCGGTTGGTCGCTGTGATCATCCCTCTACTTACCTTTCCATACGCCCCCTAGGGCTATTCTTCGTGGAGTGTGAGGATTGGCCGAGAGTGAGGCAGGAAGTGGTTGTTGGTTGGACAGGAGGCAAGAAGGAGGGCAGTAATCGGGGTCGCTCGCGTCCTGAGGCGCGGAGGGGTCGGCTGGCGTTCCCGCGCTCTGTGGCCCTGGTGCCTTAGTGGGCGCGCCTCCCGCCTTTACAATCCAACGAAAAGTTATACCTCCTGGGTTCCTGACCCTGGGACGGGTATCCAGTGCCCTTCCCTGAAGGGGTGCATGGCAGCTGATTGAACGGGTGGGAAGTGGGGTCGGCCGTCCTGAAGGGTAATTTGCTTGTGCAGAGAGCAGGCCCCTACGGGTGGCGGGCGGATCCCGGCGCCGGCTGCCTTACCCGGCCGAGAGTACGCTGCGCGGTGCTACGTGGGCCGGCGCCACCGTTCCTGCAGAGTCATCGCTCTGTGCCCCGGAGCCTGTAGCCTACTAGTTACCTAATATAAAACAGTCCAGAATAATATAATCAGAGGTTATTTCAGTTTTCCATTTGTGATGTCTCCTAAAGTGAGATTAAAGGGCTGGAATATGGCTCAGGAGTAGAGCACTTGCCTCGCACGGGTGAGGCCCTGGGTTGGATCCTCACCACCACGTAAAAAAATAAATAAAAATAAAGTTATGTGTCCATCTACAACTAAATATATTTTGTAAAAAAATAAAATGATTGAATATGAGTCTAGCGATAATAAAACGGCAGGATTGAGAAAAGGATGGTGCAATGGGAAGACTTAAAAAACGCCAGTTTTTGAAAACCCGCTCTTAGCACATTTTCCGTTTTCAATACGCTGAGATCCTCAAAAAAATGGAAGTAACTCTGAGTTTTGGTTTTTCGTTTTGTTTTTTTGGGTTGTTTTGTTTTTGCTTTTGTTTTTGTAGTATCTGGTCTCTGTCCTCCATTTGTTTGGAGACCCAAAGACGTGAATACTAAGGTGGGAAAAAAAATAGTTATTTGGTATAACACCTATATACAGCCAGCTTTATTCCCTCCTACGTGGAAAGAGGGTAAAAAAAAGTTAGGGTTTAATGTTTGCCTCAGGTTAGTAAATTCCAATGCTCAACCCCTAAGTTTGTGTAAGAGCATTTTGCTTTCCTTATTTAACTAGAGAAGTGGGTATTCAAAATAGAATAAAATTCTGAAGACTGTGTAAAGGCCCCATATGTAGTAATCATAGCTGCCCTGGAGGCTGAAGCGGGAGGATGGCTTGCACCCCGGAGTTCTAGGCCAATCTGGGCAACAAAAAGAGACTCTGTCTTCAAATAAATGAAAAAGGCTGAGGATGTAGCTCAGTGGTAGTGTGTCCCTAGATTCAATCCTGGTACCACTAATAATCATAGTAAATAATAATAACAAAAGGGGCTGGGGAATTAGCTAGCTGGTAGGGCCCTTGCAGAACATGCAAAAGGCTCTGGATTCAATCCCCAGCATTGGGGGGGGGGGCGGGGGGAGTTAAGGGAATGTATGTGAGCTAAGCTAGCAAGGGTATAACTGGTAAAAGATGATGGTACTGGGGCTGGGGATGTGGCTCAAGCGGTAGCGCGCTCACCTGGCATGCGTGCGGCCCAGGTTAGATCCTCAGCACCACATACAGACAAAGATGTTGTGTCCGCCGATAACTAAAAAAAATAAATATTAAAATTCTCTCTCTCTCTCTTAAAAATAAATAAATAAATAAACCCTTTATTTAAAAAAAAGAAAGAAAAAGATGATGGTACTGAAGAGAATTTAGTAGGGTTCTGAAAGAACAACTGTTTCCAAGTGGGATATGCAGAATTTCCATAGGTGGAGAGTTGGAGGAAGGCTTCTTTTTTTATTATTTTTTTTTAGTTGTGGTTGGACACAATACCTTTTTTATTTATTTTTTTTGTGGTGCTAAGGATGAACCCAGGGCCTCACATGTACTAGGCCTACGCTCTACGGCTGAGCTTCAACCCCAGCCCCTGGAGGAAGGCTTCTTTAAATAATATGAATGCAGGAAAATAGGCCTGCTGTGTTTGGGGACACGATGTATAGACTTTTGGCTGGAGAAGTGTGTCATGAACATGAGTGATGGGAGATGGGCTCCAGAGATGGTTTGGGATTAGGCCTTAAAAGCCTAGCCAGAAGCCAGGCACAGTGGTGCACCCTGTAATCCCAGCAGCTCAGGAGATTGAGGCAGGAGGATGCAAGTTCAAAGCCAGCCTCAGCAAAAGCGAGACACTAAGCAACTCAGTGAGACCTTATCTCTAAATAAAATACAAAATAGGTTKGGGGATGTGGCTCAGTGGTCAAGTGCCCCTGAGTTCAATCCCTGCTACCCCGCTCTTCCAAAAAAAAAAAAAAAAAAGACTAGCCAGAGAATTTGTAGGGAAATATGTTGGATTTTAGACTTGGATCATGATTTAGATGTTTGTGTTAATACCATTCCAGGAAGGTCTGAAAACAGCTTTGAGAACAGTTAGGAAGCTACGTCTTGAAGTTGATAAAAAGGGCAGAGCTGGAGAATGTCAGGGCATACAAAACAAACCAATAAATGTTGATACTAGAAAATGGTCCGTTGGACTCAGGAGGCTATGGAAAGATGCTAACACTAAGGGTTTGAGACTGGATGAGGAGGTGAAAATGTAGAGCCCCAACAAAAAGGAAATCCAAGCATGGCTGATCCTGGGCTGTCCCCTAAACACAAGACTGGATGTGGGGATTTTTCAGCTCACATATAATGTTTTTCAAAGGAAGAAGTTAAGGAAAAAACCCTGAAGAATGGGGTCTTTTCTTGATAATCCAAAGGTACTTTGAGGTATTAGAGTATCTTACTAAAAGAAATAACCATTATTGTTCTTAGATGTAGAAGGAATGGGAAATTGAATTGAATGTGTTCTTTTGTTTTTTGTTTTTTGTTTTTTTCTAGCAGCACTGGACATTGAACACAAGAGCTTTTATTTTAAGACAGGGTTGTTGAGACTGGCCTCAAATTTATGATCCTCCTGCCTCAGCCTCCTGGGTCACAAACATATTCTGACTTTATAGTATAACTTGGAAGATGGTTTTTGAAATAAATTATTTATATCCATTTTAAAATTCTCATGTCCTTGATCCAGAAATTCCATCTTTTCAATTATCAATAATTGAAAAAATATATCCACTACATTTACTATGCTTATATGTAAAAATGCTGGGCATAGTGGTGCATATCTGTAATCCTGATGACTTGAGAGGCTGAGACAGGAGGATCAAAAGCTAGAGGCCAGCCTGAACAACTTAGCCTTGTCTCAAAATAAAAAATAAGACAGGAAGACTAGGGTTGTGGCTCAGCAGTAGAGTGCTCGCCTTGAACCTGTGAGACCCTGGGTTCAATCCTCAGCACCACATGAAAATAAACAAAATAAATAAATAATATTTTAAAAAGAAAGAATGAAAGACAGGAGATGTAGCTAAAAAGTAGAGCATCCCAGGTTCAATCCCCAGTACAAAAAAAAAATTATAGTACCAATATCCTGGACATAACTTACCATGATAGATAACTGACTAGATAAAATATAGGCCATCTTTATAATAGTTTTGCACTGTTGGAAAGCATCAGGTGTGCACCTGTGTGTTCTAATATACAGAGAACAGTGAGATTTATTATAATGTAAAAAAAGCTCTGCATATTAGTATGCTTCCTTTCACGTGGAAAACATACATGTATTGTCATAAACTTGGACTAATAAGCTCACTGGAAAGATGCACAAGAAACTAACAGTGGCCGATGCTAGAAAGGGAGACTGAGACTCTAGAAATAGAAAGGTTATTTTAATATATAACATGCATATATTTTTCCAGTAAAAAATCAGTTTCAGCCTTTATGCTTAGTGTTTTTGTTTTAAAGAAAGAATTTTGAAAATAACTACACAAAATTCTTGATCCATGTGTGAGACAATGAAAGAAAGCTTAGAGGTCAAATGATTGGGTTATGAGAGCCTTAACCTAATCATGTGTTAAACCCCTGATAGAGAATAGCTGAAGGGTGACTTTAGGTTGGTAGGATATGGCTGAAGGAGGTGGGCCACTGGGGGCTTGTCTTTGGTAACATATATTTGGTAAGCTGAGCTTAGTCTCTCTCTTTGCTTCCTGATGCCACATTCCCCGCTGCTTTCCTCTGCCACACACTTCTACCATGATGTTCTGTATCACTGTGTGCCCCAAGGAATGGAGCTGGCCATCTATGAGCCATAGACATGAGCCCCCAAATAAACTTTTCCTCTTTAAAATTGTTCTTGTCAGGCATTTTGGTCACAGCAAGTAGAAAAACTGACTAAAACAGAAAAGAAAGAATTAAGTATATTGGGACAGCAAAGTAGCCAAGGAAAGGAAAAGGAGTTCCACCTGGCTTTATGCCACCTTGAGCTGAGAATTGCAATAGAGGGTGCCCTTCCTTTCAAGGCCACCTGATATCTGCTCCCTCCTTCTCCCTTCCCTCATTAGTCACACTCACTCACTATTCTACATGGCTTAAGATGCCTGCCAGCTCTCCTGTACACACTGCCCCTCCTCAGGTCCCAGACCAACTGGAGTTTTCTATATACTGAGAACTAATATGTCCCCAAACTCTTTCAGTTGTGGAATCTCCTCTCAAAATGTTCAGATGCATTAGGTAAGCTATCCATTTTGTCCTCTGGTTGAGGATTATCACAGAGTACTTATCTTCTTTTTATAGTTTGCACTTTAGCCCCTCATTCTGGATTTGGATCTCCTGATGTTATGATTTGGATATGTGATGTCCTCCCAAAAGCTCATGTGTGAGAAATGCAATAACGTTCAGAAATGAAATGATTAGATTATGAGAGCTGTGACCTAATGAGTTGATTAATATACGTGAA